TTCATTTGTTAAGTGCATTCCTATTTTCTTTTTGATAAGCGTTCTGAATGAAATTGCTGTATTTATTTCAAATTCAAATTCTTCATCCATAATATATAGAAATACAATGGATTTGTTTTGCCTGTTCTTACATCCTGTAACTTTGCTAAACACATTTATTTGAGTTTGTTTTGGGGGGGGCAGGTTCCTACAGAGGATTTTCTGTATACAGGATTATGTTTTCTGTGAATAAAGACAATTTTACTTCTTTCTTTCCATTAAGGATGCCTTTAATTTTTTTTCTTGCCTTATTGCACTGGCTAGACACTCCAGTACAGCACTGAATAGGAATGAGAGTGTATATTCTTAATGTTATTCCCAGTCTTAGGAAGAGCATTCAATATTTAACCATTAGATTTATTTTTTTAACATATTTGTGTAGGATTGGCATTATTTTTTCCTTAGTATTGATAAAATTAATAAGTGAAGGCATCTGGGCCTGGGCTCCCCCCCAGGAAAATTTCTTAATTACTAATTTAATTTCCTTTTATAAGTATCTTCAGATTCTCTCTATTTATTTTTGAGTTCCATTTGGTAACTTGTATCTTTCTGGAAATTTATCTAACCTATCTAACTTTGGTGTTTTGTTGGCATAAAGTTGTTCATAATAATTCCTTATAGTGTTATTCCCTTGTAATAAAATCTTTTTGATATTGGTAGTGTTTGTAGCAGTGTTCACTCTGATTATTATTTCTGATTTTGGTAATTCATGTTTTCTCTCATGTTTTTAGGTAAATCTAAAGATTTGTTAATCTTTTGATCATTTCAAAAAGCAAACTTTGGTGGGTTTTTTCCTTGTATTGTTTTTCTATTTCATTAATTTCTGCTAATATTTATAATTTCCTTCTTACTGTCTTGGGCTTAATTTGCTCTTATTTTTTAATGCTTAGATTGTGGATTTGAGACTTCTTTTCTTTCCTGATATGTGTTTAAAATTACAAATTTTCCTCTGAGTGCCTCCTTAGCCTCATCACGTATTTATCAGTATGTTAGTTTTGTTCTTAGGTCAAGATAGTTTCTGATTTCCCTTGTGATATGTTCCTTGACCCATGGCTATTTATGAGAATGTTGTTTAGTTTCCAAATATTTGGGATTTATGAAATTTCTTTTTGTTGTTGGTTTCTTTCCATTAAATTTTAGTGGTCAGAGAACAAACATTAATGAATTCTAATTCTTACAAATTCAGAAAAACTATTTTATGGTCTAGATGGTGTTATGTCTTGAAGAGTGTTCCACTTGCACGTAAAAAGAATGTATATTCTGTTATCTTTGGTTAGAGTACCCCATAAGTGTTGGTTAAGTAAAGTTGATTGATGATGATGTTCAAGTCTTCTATAGACTTACTGATTCTCCAGTTCTTTTTTCAGTTGAGAGGGGGCTATTGAAAATTTCAAACAAAATTCTGAATTGTCTCTTTTTCCTTTCAATTTTACTACTGTTATTAGGTATTTTATACTTAATTGTTATATCTTCCTGATTTATTGATATGCTTCACTTTGTCTCTAATAATACTCCTTACTTTAAACTCCAGCGCTCTGGTGATTGTTTTGCTATGGTTGCATTTATGTCTGCCATATTCATTCATGCATGCATTCATTATTTTTTACTGTTTTCAGCTTGACTCAATTGTTTCTGCTCTTTGTCCCTCATTTAACTGTATTCTTAGTATAATGAGTGATTTTCATTTCATATTCTGAACATTCCGGGTGTTATGTTGTGACACTCATAATTATATCTCTTTCTCATTACTCAGTCAGTCACCTTATTTGTGTGTAGTGTGTGGGCCTGGATGGGTGTGTGTTCTGCTCCCTGCTAGGCACTGCTGATACCACCTCAGTGATGGAGCAGTGGCTCACACCTCCTCCTGCCACCTCAGGATGGCAGGGGTGTCAGATCGGCTCCCTACTGGGTCCCACTGACACACTGGGGGTGGGGGAAAGGGAGAGGAGGTAGCCCACTCTCCATTGCCTCCTTTTGCCTCCTCGATGCCAGGTAGGGGTGGAGGCTCAACTCCCTACTGGGCCTTTATGACTTAATTTTAGCAGAAATAGGGTAGTGAAGTAATAAGTTTCAAGTTTTTTTTGTCAAGTTAAAAACTTGATACATCTCAACCTGTTGCAAGTTGCACTGGCCATCAATAAATTGGCTGTGCCCATTAGAAATAAGTCCCTCTTAATTAAACCATATATTATTTAAGAAATTCAAAAGCATCAGATGAAAAAAAAGGTTTATACTGGCAAAATGGTTATTTTTAAAAAAATCCTTACCTGAGGATATGATTGATTTTAGGGGTAGGGTAGGGAGAGAAAGATCTGTCAGTTACCTCATGTACACGCCCTGACCAGGGAGCCAGCCCATATCCTTTCACGGTACCGGAATGGTGCTTCAAGCAACTGAGCCACCTGGCCATGGCCAAAATGCTTATTTTGAAGAATTTTTGTGTTTGTGAGAAAAAAGCAGGGGGAGTGATATGTATATTTATAGCAAATATTTTTATTGGGGATTTTCTCGTTAAAATTCAGGGGCTGAAACACCTTGGTCTTGCATGCTACAACCTGGCTCATGTGTCCTCTGGCAGGTTTAGAAGTACTTTGAAAGCACAACCAAAGGTTCTCTGACTGAAACAAAATTTTGTGCCAATACCAGATGGGCCAAAACTCTCCAGCTTTACTTGAGGGCAGTGATAGGGCACTGAAATGAGAAGCTAGAGTGATAGAAGATAGTTGACGTATCCCGGGGATTATTGAACCAGTCTCGCCTTTCATCGCTCTGGGAATGGAAGAGTTGCCACCAACTTTATGGAAGGAAGGAGCATTCTCTATTGCTAGTGAGGGGAGTAAATACAATACTAGGAACATTGAGGGGGGGCGCGCGGAGGAGGTAGTTTATACATGTAGGTAGGATCAGCAGGACTTGTTTTCAGAGTTTTTCAGTGAGGGTAGGAAATAAAAAAGATGGAGGAATCCAGAATTACTCTTAAGTTTTTAACTTTTTTAACAGAAAGAATTATAGTGCCATTGACAAAAACAGGAAAGCTACTATGGGATATAGGAGAGATGATGGTATTTTAGTTCAATTGATTTTAAATTATTGATGTTCAGTTTAATTAGTTTATAGTAGTGTCTGTCTTTTTAGAGGTGCTAAAAGTACCTTACAACTTTTCTATAAGTAGCTTTAACAAGATATAATCTACATGCTATTACCCATACCTGTGTACCAAAAAGTCATTGTGTAATTCAATGAATTTAGTATATTTATAGCCAAGACACTTACCACAATTATCATTACTATGTAATTTTTAGAACATTTATATCACCCTAAGAAGAAACCTCATGCCCATTCCTACCTTCACTCCTAAGCAATAACTAACCTACTATCTGCTCCGTGCCCTTTTGTAGACATTTGTGTAAATGGAATCATATAAAATGTGTTTTTTTGTGTCTGGCTTCTTTTCACTGAGCATGTTTTTTGAGGCTTACTCATGTTGCTTGCACTTTTTAAAATGAGTTTTATAACTAATAGTAGAGGAACATACTAATAAGTACATGTGAGTCCCATGGGTAAATTGTGTGAAACCAGCTAGTTCAGGGAGAAGTTAAGAATAGGGATAATACTGTAAAGTGGTTTTATGAATGTTTGTCATTCATCTGTAGACTTTACTTGCTAAATACTGCTAACGTAGAATATCAGTGTATGATCTTATACAGTGAAGGCCGGGATGCTGAGGCAGTGATTTACGATGAGACATTTGCAGTATTTGAGTTGGGAATAATAGAATGAAATCCATTGGTTTCATTTTCATTTTGAGTTAATAAATTATTTCATAAATCGGGATTCTGTCTCATTATTTTTGTCCAGATGAATATGGATTGTTGACTAGAGAATGATCATTTTCCCTGATTAGTATTGATGATCTTGATCAGAGTTAAATAATTGGTATGAGTGACAGACTTAAGTTACAGATAGGGGAGAAGGGCAAAGAGATAGTAAATATACCTGTTGCCTTTGTAAAGTTTTTGTCAATATCAGTACTGTAGAGATATGTTTATTCCAGAGTACACTTCATTTTATTGTCCTAACTTGATTAATGTAAAATGTGAAGTTATTAACTTCTTGCTTTATTGAGACATTTAAGTATGTAGATATATCAAAGCATAATTTTGTTTATTTAATTGTACATAAAAAATGCTTTAAGTTAAAAACCACTGTGGTTAGAATTCAAGTTACTTCACATTATAGAGTCACATTTGAAATAAATTAATGCCAATTGACATAAAAGGGACTAATTTAAGGAAAAATTGTGAAGTAGGAAATTTAAGTACACCCCATCCTTCTCTTCTGCTCTTTTTCTTTTTACATACCTTACCCAGGAATTTATTTATGAACTGTCCCTTCTTTCCTTTGATTGATGTAATTTCATAAATCTATTCATATTAAGGACCTGGAGTGTTGCTTTCCTTTAAAATACTGTTTGAAAAGAGAGCTACAGTATGGGTACTGCTTAACTAAAGGAAATGAATTGCTAATGGTAGATTTTTGTGTGGTTTGTGGTAGAAAGAGTACTGGAAATAGAAAGCAAATTATTTATCTTTTCCATTCTGCCTGCTAGACAAGTCTAAGTGATATGGTTATATTATGGAGTTAATTAAGTACTATTGACAACAGAATAAACTGCTTTAAAGACAGATGTTTCCTCATAGTTTTTGTAAAGAGTAAAAGAGAAAAATAAGACCCATTTTTGGATTGGACAGTTGGCCTCATTTGGGTTCATGTAATATGGATTCATATTGATGGTAACAGTGTCATTTTCTCCCAGTGCACAAAGTAAATGTGGGTGATTTTAAAACATACTCTGTTATTTTCACTCCCCTCCTCCATTTAAGTGTATTCAAAAGGATCCCTATCTTTTAACCTTGTCCTTAATAATGAATGTTACCCTTTCATTTTTGTTTTTCTTCTAGGCTATATTCATCACCAAAGAAAAAACTTACACCAATGCAGAAATCGGTTAGCCCATTAGTTTGGTGCAGGCAAGTTTTGGATTACCCAAGTCCTGATGTTGAGTGTGCTAAAAAGTCTCTTATCCACAAACTTGATCAAACTATGTCAGGTATGTCTGTAATTTTACTTGTAAGTTCATCTCTTTGCTTTCTTGAATTAACCACCCACACACACACACAAATATATGTTGAAGATGTTTTTAGGAAGGCAGTTCGTTGCTTGGTAATGATTTTCAAATTTCGTTGTGAAATTTGCCGCCATGAGCCGCTATGTGCCGCCATGAGTTTTTGCCATATGCACATAACCTTGTTCTGCTATTTACTTCACTTTTTTCAATTCTCATTTTTATTTAGCCTCATTTTAAAGAATAATATTCAATAAATAATAAATTTTCTGTGATAAGGGTTTTTTCCTAATACAAGTTAAAATTAACTATTTAAAAAATATTTGTGTACTATTATCTAAAATTATCTCACCACCCTTGTGGGAATTCTGATATGGTAGAAAGGCACAGGTTGAGAACCCCAAAGACCTTGTTCTCATTCTAGCACTTAATTACTTTGTGACTGCATATTAGGTTTTCTCATAAGAATAAAGAACCTTGAACAGGCTGACAGTGACCAAAGGGGAGAGGGGAGGGAATTTCAGGGGAAAAGGGGAAGGGTATACAGGAACAAGTATAAAAGACACATGGACAAAAACTAGGGGGGGTGGAAATGGGAGGGGGTGGGGAGGGATGAGTGGGTGGGCTGCGATGGGAGTAAAGGACAGAAAACTGTACTTGAACAATGATTAAAATAAAATTTAAGAAAAAGAATAAAGAACCTTGTAAGGTTGTCTTAAGGGTTAAATGATGTTTATGAAAGAGCCTAGCATGTTTTTCGGACTCATAGTAGGTGCTTAGTAAATGTATTCATTTCCTTTCCTTGTTATGTTTTGCTTTTTTTTTTTTTCTGCTTTTTACTTGGTATTTTACATTTAAATTGCTTTTATACTCTTTTGTTTATAGTATTCTCAAAGCTGGCAGAATGTGTCTGTGACTATTTATGGCATTTAATATAGCATGCCTGTGAGGGTAGAAATGCAGGAAAAGTGTTATTGACTCTTTCTTGGAATTGCTCTCAGTCTCTTGAGAATGTTACTATTCTCTGGAATACTCTTGTAGTAAACGACTGGTGCATGATCACTAATGCTCAATAGGTTTTGGGGTTCTTTGCTTTGTATCTCTTATTTTGGTGTTACATCGAAAGAATGTGCTGACAGTGGTCATGGGAGGCAAAGGGGAGACTAAACAGTTAAATGGGCGGAAGCACAGTTGGTTGGTTGTAGGGAGTAATGGTTATTATATGAAAATAACTTCTAAGATATGATTACAGAGCCCCTGAGCCAGTTTGGACACTGAAGTCTTTTCCCCTGTGTAGAGAATCCATTTGTAAAAAGCAATACCCTTTATGTACTTTTTAAAATGTTTTTTGTCTGCTTATCAAATGTTTTTAGAATTACATCCTGGAGCTTGATTTAAATTACATTCTTAAGAGATTTTTAGAAATATGTAGGCAGGTTAGTAAACAAGCTGGTATTTCACAATTAGAAACAACTGGAAAATTTCTAACATTTCAGTGAAATGATATTACTTAGACATTTATTTAAAATATTTTTAGGAAAAATTTTCCAGTACTTAGAAATAATGTAAATACATTTTACAATTTAATTAAAATTTTTTATCATTCAAAAGTATATGTTCATAACCTACCATGTGCTAGTGGTCATTGTTCTTATTTCTGAGGCCATAGCAATGAATAAAATAGATCAGAAAGTCCCGTATTTCCTAGAACTTACATTCTATTAGAGGAAGCAGACAATAAATAGATAAATAAACATATAAAACTGGGGTTGGCAAACTTTTTTGGTAAAGGCCAGATGGTAAGTAGTTGAGGCTTTGTGGATTATGAGGTCCCTGATGTAGTTACCCACCTTTGCCCTATTGCACCAGAACAGCCATAGATACCACATACAGGAACAGGTGTGGCAGTGTTCCAATAAAACTTCATTTACAGAAACAGGTGGTGGGCTGGATTTGGCTCACAGGTGTATAGTTCACCAATTCCTGGTGTAAAGCATCCCAAGAAATGGGAACTTAGAGGAGAAAACCAAAGTTGTTGCACCTCAAAAATAGTGATTTGAGTGGCTTTTTATTTTATTATAAAGGGTATTAAAGTTAGTAGGAGTATATAAGAGAAGCTGTTACTCTTGAACCAAAATTAGATGTAATCAAGTACTCGATCTGTTTAACAGTGTTTAGATTTTATAGCCATATATGCACATTATATTCATAGCTGCAGCTCTGCATCTATAGCTATATCTGTATCTGTAGAGCTGTAGCTATGAATATAATGTATATTTAAAGGAAAAATAATTTGACTATTTCAAGTTTGAACTTCGTAGTCCTAAACCCCCTTTTCCTGAGTTGCAGGAGAGATTTTTTTTAAACGTACTTTTTTGATAAGGCAAAGAAAGCTTCTTGGCAGAACAGTTTCTGCTCCATCACATGCAGCTTCTCTGCAGTGCTCTACCACTTGTCCCTACAATGTCCTTCTCTTGCTTTTTATGGTGGTGCATTATCTCTTTTATCTTCTCCTACCGTCCCTGCTGTTGTCTTTCCTGTGGTCTTTGAATATCCTTCCTTCTGCCCCCTTTGTGTGCGTGTACATGTGTGGTAAAATTTACGAAACGTAGAATTGTCTACTCTAACCATTTTTAAATATACAGTTTAGTGGTGTGAGGTACGCCCACATTGCTGTGCAACCATCACCACCGTCCATCTCCAGAAGTTTTTCATTATCCCATTCTAAAATACTGCACCCATTAAAGTTTGCATCCCTCCTATTCCTACCCATCTGGCCATCGGTTAAGTTTAGGGTTACCCAGGTGTCTTCTTTTGCCCCACTTCTCTCTGTTTTTTATATGATTTTACCCATCCGTATGGTATTTAATATCACCTGTTCAAATTAATCTTATTCATTCCTGTTTATATTCAATTAGTATTTATTGAGAGCCTGTTAATGTATGAGGCTTTGGGGAAAGGATGGAGGGATACATGATGAGTAAAAACACTGTCTCCATTCATGGAGTTTATCATCTAGTAGGGGAAATAGAAATACAAATAATTATTTTAACTGGCAGTGTATATAGTTAAGGAATGGTATACATTGCTTTGAGAAATAGGAATTTTACCTCAGGAAGTGATGTTTAACCTGAATCCTAAAGATTCAGAAAAATGTAATGGGCTAAGGAGAAAGGTGAAAGTGTATTAGGATGTTCCAGGTAAAGCAGCATGTGCAGAGGCCCTGCGGGAGGCCCGAGAGGGAGCAGACATGCAATGAGGAACTAGAGCAAGCCAAGGTGGCCGGGGAAGAGTAAGGGATGAAGCAATGTGAGATAAGGCAAGAAAGATGTAGAAGCCAGACTCTGCGAGATTTTGGACTTTACTGTAAAAGCAAAGGGAAGATATCAAAGGGTTTAGTTTAAGGGTGTGGTGTGTGGGGGTGGGAAGAGACAAGATTTGCATTTTGATAAAGTCTTGCTTAGCTACAGTATGGAGAGTAGAGTGGAGAGAGCTGAAAGGGAATGTGGAATGCTCTTAAGGGCGATGGATGATGATAGCTGGGCGGTGTGTGTTGGGGCGAAAGGGTGCTAGTGGAGATGAAAAGATGTGGGAGTAAAAAGGAATGAACCAAATATGAGGAAATGAGGGAAAATAGAGTATCAACAGTGATTTCTAGGTTTCTGGCTTGTGTGACAGGACAAATGTTATTTTGAAACAGGGACCTTGGAAGAGAATTGGAGTGGGAAAATTTGAGTTTGGATGTGGACGTGTTGGCCCTGGGGCACACTTGCCATACCCACAGGGGAGACTGACTGGGCAGCGTATATGGAGCTGGAGCTCAGGAATGCGTAGGACTGAAGATACAAATAATGAAAGGAGTGTTTGGCATATAGATAATAATTAATGTTGTGGAAATGAATGAAATTTCTCAGGGAAAAGAACGTGGTATACCACGTGAGAAGATAAAAGGGCTGAAGACTTGAAATGCTGGTGATTAAATAACCAAGTAAAAGAGAATGAGTTTCCAAGGAGATGGAGGAGTAAAGTGACAGGAAGAAGCTAGCAGCCCCATTTCTGCTCAGGTTAATACTTCTGAGATCATCCCACATCCTGCCCCCTGAATACAAATAAAATGTGGTGTGCTCTCTCGTAGTGAATATGTATAGAACTACTCTGACTTCCTGCACTATCCAGTAAAACAGAAAACATATGTTTTTCCCAAAAGTACTGTTCTGCCAGTTTTCAAACCAGTAATTTCAGAGTCATCTTTTTTCCTTTAGTAATCCTTTCCAATTTTTAATGTCTATCATTTTTTTCTTATTTTGTCACCTATACAACCTACTTCAACCTAACCTATTCAACATCAAAATTTCCACTGATTTTTTTCCGTAAAGTAATCCTATCATATCATTCTTGCTCCAGAATCACCGATGGCATTACCGTTGCTATTGAACAGAGTTCAGACTCCTGAGCATAGTGTTCCAGGCTCTCCGTAACCTGCGCCTGCTGGGTGTTCATATTCTGTCCATCGCCGTGTGCTCTACCTCTCCAGATCACTCATCCTACTCCCTGAACACACTGTGCATTTTCAAGACATGGTTTCTGTTCATGTTAAAAACACAAATGAAAGCACACACTTTCCCCACGTTCAGCCATGGGTTAAATTATTATTTATTCTCTCAAGACTGCTGCAGTGCCTCTCCTTCCAGAAAGAGTTACCTAGTTTCTCTCTGTTGTGTTAACTTCCTCCTTCCTCATAATTTCCACAAACTTTTTACCTTTATTATAATACCAATTTCATTTTGTCTTGAAATTATTGTTTCTGTCTGCCCCCACTCCTTGGCTATAAGCCTCTTGAGAAAAAGCACGCGCCACCTTTGTCTCTGTTTCTACACAGTGCTGTGCTGATGGTCAGAAATACTAAACAAACTGGATTTTAGAATAGGGTAGAAGAAAGAAATACTATTTTAAGTATTTTTCTTGTATATAATTACACTTGATATCTTGCCATATTTTTATACTACTTCTATTTTATATGCATAGCACTAAGTTTTTTCTCTTGTTGGCAGAAATATCCTTCTTAGGCCGGAAAATGGTGGCATGGAGGGACTTTTAAAAAAAAAGAGTGAATTCTCACATGTTTTGATGTTAACCTAGCCAAATAGTTAATATTGCTTTTTATTTTTCAAAACTTCAAGTTTTGCCTGGCTGATGTGGCTCAGTGGTTGAGTGCCGAGCTGTGAACCATAGGGTCTCAGGTTCGATTCCCAGTCAGGGCATATGCCTGGGTTGCAGGCCAGGTCTGGAGTGGGAGGTCACGTGAGAGGTATCGCATATTGATGTTTCTCTCCTTCTCTTTCTCCCTCCCTTCCCCTCTCTAAAAAATAAGTAAATAAAATCTTTTTTTAAAAAGGAAAAACAATGCCACATTTTAAAAAATCAGGCTTTGAAAATGTTATTTTTAAAAGCTCATTATTAAGTAGTTTTAATTTTTTAATTTTTTAAAACTTTTTTTGTAAGATTTTATTTTATTTATTTTTAGAGAGGGAAGGGAGAGAGAGAGAGAGAAAAAAAACATCAACGTGCGGTTGCTGGGGGCTGTGGCCTGCAACCCAGGCATGTGCCCTGACTGGGAATCAAGCCTGCAATGCTTTGGTTCGCAGTCCACGCTCAATCCACTGAGCTACATCACCCAAGGCTTTCATAGTTTTTTTTTTAAAGCAATATAGTTTGTTATAGAAAAATAGAAAATACAAATATGCTTTTACATTCATTTTATTTTTCAGGGCCATTTGGGATTGATTCAGTTGGAATAAACTTTCCAAGAAGATATAAGTAAATTCACTTAGTGGTTAATAATTTGTTGAGGAGATATTCTTTCTATGATATTATTTTGTTGTTCACTGTGACTACTCTTTTACTTGCATAACACAATTTAAGATAATGAAAATACTTTGTTGGAATTATTAGTATTAAATATGTTCCCCCACTACTATAAGAATGTTTCTGTATTGAGGTAGATCATTACTTAATGAACTTCCTAATAGGAAAACTTTTGTAATAAAATTTTAACTTTTTTGTAGTTAACTAAATTTGATTTCCCCTTCTCATTAATGCAGCTCTCAAGAGGCAGAACTTATATAATAATCCTTTCAACTCCATGAGTTACACGAGTCCTTACAGTCCAAATGCAAGTAGCCCGTATAGCAGCGGTTTTAATTCTCCGTCCTCAACCCCGGTGCGACCTCCTATAGTCAAACAGCTAATACTTCCTGGAAATTCAGGTAAGAATTGAAATAGAGTGATTAAAGAATGGTTTTTAAACTTACTGCCCTATCTCAGAAAATACCTTACTCATCTGTAGTTCAAGTTCTTTTATTTGTGAAACTTTTAACTGATTAGAGGAAATATCATTGAGGAGCTATTTGGCACCAGATACTGTGCACGGGGATACAGATAAGCCAGTTTATATCTATGAGGTTTTCTTTAGCATGTACTTAAAAGTTTTTAAAGCTGGCTTCATTAAGTAGGATCCCAAGCTTGATTATTATAACTGATAGATGCCTATTAAATAGTTTGCTTGGGCTTTAAATAAGCTACAGAGTTAAAAACTTTTTTACAGGATTTTAATATTGATATTGCACTTAAATAACTATAAAGCTCTATGTGAATGTGTCAAAAGAGTGTTTGGAGCTCTAAATGAAATGGGAGGGATACATTGCTGTAAATTGGGGAATGAATGTTCTGTTTTGGTTCTGTGACTGAGCTGTTACTCTTTGACCTACTGTTTGTTAGAATTCACTCATTCAGTTATTCTTATTGCTACTATCGTTACGGCAAATTATTATAACTTCCTTAAAAATTAAAGTATCGTTAACCATCTCACATTTTGACCTGAGTGCTACCTAGACTGACGACTTTGTTGACCCCGCTTGTTTGCTTTGCACGTAGGTTGTTACTTGCTACATATTTCAGACATTACTGTCATACTAAAAAATTGAATCTGCTATATTTGTTTAATATAAATAATTTTATTCAGGCACTGTTTGAGCCTGACTTTTCTATTCCTATTATCTTCTTGATTATATGAACATTAACTATTTCATATTTTTGCTCTTATGTGCCTTCATGTTGGAGCTTACAGTGAAAAGTTCTGGAAAACAAGCATTTCAAATAAATTAGTATTAGAAATAGTAGTGACACTGTTATGATTTTATTATTCTCCACTAGAAGTTGATCTGATGAAAGCATTTCCTTAGAAACAAATTAGACTCTTTTGGATATGTATATATTTTACCCCTCTGGCCTGTCTTCTGTCCCCCTTTTGGTTTAGAATGACAAAATACTTTCTTTATGTAGTCATTTTCTTCACCTCATCTTTGTGCTTCACTCTTACATTTCCAAGAATTGCTTAGATCATTATTACTGGTTTGCCAAGGGAATTTTGTAAACATGGCATAATGGAGGAGAAATGAGCTAGTGTTCCTTTTTTGGTTTGTTTCTAACTTTCTAAGGAATCCTGATTTTCCTCAAATTACAGTATTCTGGTTTAGGAAAAACAGTTACTTTTATTCAGGGAAAACGATGACGATACTGGCTAATGACTATGAATTTGGAAGGAGAAAACACCACATCATAAATTGATCTATTTATAGAGCAGTGTCATTGGTTATCTTGTAAAAGTTCAAGTCCTCTAACATGTATTATTGAAAACTACTTACCAGGAATTGTTGAAAGCTTAACTGTTTTATAAGGGGATAGATAAGTTATAGTTAAAGGAAAATGTTTTGTGCTTATGCCATAATATATTTAGGAACTTTCATAGCCCTCTTTATTCTTAATAAGGTTAATTTTTATTCAGTATTTGAGAATTTTGTAAGCAGAGCAGAATAATAATGAACTAAATCAAAAGATATAATATCCAGTTAACTATAACAGATGTTTATTCAGTTTTTGTTTCACCAAAGCTTGAATTTTTTTCTTTTTTAAGGTAATTTGAAAAGTTCATCAGACAGAAATCCTCCACTCAGTCCTCAATCCTCTATAGACAGTGAGTTAAGTGCTTCAGAATTAGATGAAGATTCAATTGGATCCAATTATAAGCTAAATGATGTAACTGATGTGCAGATTCTAGCTCGGATGCAGGAAGAAAGTAAGTATTTTCATTGCTAAAGTTGAGGACTTTCATAGAACCTAATTTTGTTGTGGGTATTAAATATGTCTTAAAGTATTGAAAAATAATAGTGTAGAAAGAATAGAAATGTTAAAATTTTAGAGACTTATTCAACATATGGACTTACTTGTTCATTAATTTGTTTCCAGAGTCTGTTTTATATAGAGCATTTTGCTATGCGAAGAGCAAAGACAGGCAGGTTTCACTCTGCTTCTATGACTGGCAGTCACACCCTGCATGTTACTCTGCACTGGAACTCACTGGTGTAGTTATTACTCTATTACTCTGGGTTTTCTTAATGTAGACCGCTATGTCTCAACCTTTTTTTCATTGTTGGCCCGGTAAGGTTCCTTTTTAGATACTTTTTCCCTTTTTTTTTCCATCTCTCTCTTTATGAAATTTTAATACTACAAATATACTGTCTGTCTCTTTATATACTATGAGGAACACAATCTATTATGGCAGGGATGTCAAACTCATTTTCACCAGGGGCCACATCAGCCTCATGGTTGCCTTTAAAGGGCCGAATGTAATTTTAGGACTGTGTAAATGTAACTACTCCTTAAGAGTTAAGCGAGAGCTTGGCACTGCTACCGGGTAGAAACAAGGTGCCGGGCCGGATTCTGCCCATGGACCTTGTGTTTGCCACCTGTGTATTATGGTATCTAAGATTTTTTCACATCCTCAGAACCAATTTTAACTCCCTTGGGACAAATGTCCCCTCCCTTAGAATGTATGGTATAGAACATAAAAAAGACCTTTATGAGAACTTTGGCTTTGTTACTTTAAATAAAGCATGTGATGTTGCTTTGCAAAATGGTCCTTGTATCTTTTTAGGTCACAGAACCTTTAAAATTTCAATAAAAATTATGTCCCCTATCATTCTCAAAATGTACATAAGCACACAGTATTTCATACTATTTCAAGGGTTCATGGATGCCCTGACTCTCATCTGGATATAAGGTGGTAGTTACAATATTATGCTTTCCTATACATTTTATTGTAGATACCATGGGCTTAACTGTGAAATAAGCAATGTCTCTAAAGTTGTCCCTTTAACCCTTATGATAAAAAGATCCTTGAAGCACACATTTCACAGCAACAGTGGACTGAGGGTAATGGAGCATTGCTATGATTTAGTTCAAAAACGTTTAGACCCTTTTCTATAAATATATAGTAAGTTTTATCAAGTTATAACATTTATTAGAAAACTGCAGAATGTTTCTTACTCTGCTGATTCATTTCCCACTTTCACACAACTTCCCTTAGAAAGATAGGGAGACTTGATGCTTGCTTTATTTATAGAAGCTAATAACATGTAACTCTCTTCTTCTATAATTTCGTATAACACCTCACTCAGTCTGTGGTATGGTCAGCCAGTGAGGGGCTAGTTCTTGTCATGGATGTGAAGGGAGAAAAAGGATGCTGCCGAACTGTAACTTAGGGTAAACTCACCAGTTCTTTCTTTTGGACATCCTAACTGCCCCTCCCCCCGCCCCGCCACCCTGCCCCAGTATTTTGTTAGAAATGCAACCATTTGCTATAGCTTCATATTGTGCTTTAGTAACAAGTAAAAGAAATTTTAGCCTTACTTTAATAACCCTTTCTAAGCCATCTGCATGCACAAATATTTATTTCCCTAGTGAATAAAAAAAGGATACCAAAAATATGTGTGCTTTCTCCTTGAAAACACCAGTTGTTTTTTTTTTTAGGAGAATGATTTTCTTTTTTACAACATCATTTCTCCAGGTTTTTTGGTAATAGAAATGCAGAATTACAGATTTGGACTCGCCTGGGTAAGCCCTCTCGTTCTAGGATGAGAAACGCACAGTCCCATAGTGATTGTGACTTACTTAGGCTCCCCTTGTTAGTGGAGGGCCTGCATTGGGACTTGGATTTTTCTTTTCTAAAAAGCTCTTTTCACTTGTCTGTTGTCTTTAGTTCCTTGACTTTAGTGCCACGTTTGCTATTGTAAGGCACTAAGTAACTAGGTGGGCCCTGGGAATCTGATTCCCTGTGTGCTTCTCACTCACTGCTTTAGAGAACCATATTGACAGCACTTCCCTTATACAGCAGTTCCCCCTCAGTCCCACTTTCAGCGGGGCATGCTTTCCAGGACCCCCGGTGGATGCCTGATACTGTACATATGCTATGTTTTTTTCCTATACATACGTACCCATGATAAAGTTTAATTTATAAATTAGGCACAGTGAGAGATTAGTAATAAAATAGAGCAATTATAGCAATATACTGTAATAAAAGTTATGTGAATGTGGTCTCTCTCACACACACAGAATATCTTACTGTACCGTATATACAACATACACAGTGAACAAAGATGATTCACATCCCAGGCAGGACTGGGGCGGTGTGATATTTTTTTATGCTACTTTGAACTGCGTAGAATTTAAAACTTATGAATTGTTTATTTATGGAATTTTTCATTTAATATTTTCAGACCACAGTTCACTGCAATTAACTGAAACCACAAAATGTGGAACTGTGGATAAGGAGGGACTGCTGTATGAATATGTAACTTAAAAGTTGGAATACTGTTCTAACAGGTTTTTTAGACTACACTGCTAATAGTTAGCAGGACTTGTTCAAAATATCTAAATTCCATCTAAAGATTTTATCTGGATTCGATGTAAAATATCTAAAATTTTTTCAAGTTGTAATTTTTTTCTCGTTAATATGTTATTAATAATTGTTCTTATTCTAGAAGTTTTTATATTATTTAATGCAACCTTCTAAGGTTGCTAGGGTGTTTCTGGAGGTATCAGGATACATAAGGGACTCCTTTGAAAAAAAATTTTTTGATGGTTTAGAATTTAAGATCATTTTATTGGAGCTTCTTGGGTTATGAAGCAATGGAAATTTCACTTATGCCCAAATACTGAATCCTAAGGGTAGGATAGAAGTTTCCTTCATCAACTTCTTGGATACAATTAACCCAAGGATTTGGTATCTAGGGAGTTTATTTACTCACCATATATTCTTTACTGGCTGAACAGTAATTGCTTCCTTTAATGTTAATCTTAAACTTGGATTACTGTTTTTAGGAGTAGAAATATTTTTAAATTTATGGCTCTGCTTGTAATATAGATTTCAGATTCAAGAAGAAATGCTGAAATTTGGCAAAGATTTATAAAATTCCATTTTAAAAATAACTTTTTAGATGTGATTTATGCATCCTTATGGGAAGATGTCTAAGTTGATTCAGGTGGAGTGTTTTACTTTATTTGAATTTCTGAGTGATAATCTTTTGTTTTTAAACCTTAACATATTTGAATGTTGACAAATATAACTAAAGAAATAAAATTACACATTCATTATCGTCAGGTCTTCGGCAAGAATATGCAGCCACCACATCTCGGCGCAGTTCTGGTTCATCTTGCAATTCTACAAGACGGGGTACTTTTAGTGATCAGGAACTTGATGCACAAAGTTTAGATGATGAAGATGACAATATGCATCATGCAGTATACCCTGCTGTTAACAGGTTTTCACCATCACCACGCAATTCACCTCGACCATCACCTAAGCAGTCACCCAGAAATTCACCTCGTTCACGATCTCCTGCTCGGGGAATAGAGTATAGTAGAGTGTCCCCACAGCCTATGATTAGCCGCTTACAGCAGCCTCGCCTTTCACTTCAAGGCCATCCCACGGATTTACAGACAAGCAGTGTGAAAAATGAAGGTAATCAGAATGTTCCTGGAAAACATTTTGTTCCATATTTCAGTGTAAAAGTAACAGTTTTTACCAAGGTTTTCAGATAGGCAGATCAAGAATATAGTTAATCATTTTATTCATCGTGAATCAATACAAAAATAAAAGAAAAAGTAAATTTAATTTTACTTGATTTTGTTTGCTTTGCTTTGGTCCACTCATGAAGTGACCTATATATAAATTTTCTATTTAAATAAATAATTTCTAGTTCATTTTAAAGTTTCTCTTACTCCATTCACTTATAGAATCCGTGTTGAGTTGTGTATTGTTATAAGATACATACTTCCTGTTACCTCTTCTAAAATATACAGAATGCATAAATAATTTGATGTTTGAATGCTGATTAATAGTTTTCTTTTTCCATCTGAAAAAAGCCTTTTTTAACTAAAATTCTGTTGTCGCAGAAAAACTAAGACGCAGTCTTCCAAACCTGTCCCGAACATCTAATATACAAGTTGACTCAGTGAAAAGCAGCAGAAGTGACTCCAATTTTCAAGTGCCAAATGGAGGAATACCTCGCATGCAACCTCAGGCTTCAGCCAGTAAGTAAGCTTTCATGTTATAAATACTAGTTTTGTGCTCAATAGCTGTATTAAACTAATAAGTACAATGTAGTGATTATTACTTGGTATAAGATGATCATAGCTCTACTGTAATTTAAAAGTTGTCCCTGTTAGATACCAGTTATATTAATACTTATGCTGTGTGAAACTGTTCCCCCAGATTTTAAACTAAGCAAAGTCTAGCTATTTAATATATGAATATACAGGGTCAGGCTGAAGTAAGGCCTGCTTGAGTGTGGTTGGTAGGGTAATAATATGGGTGTAGTAATTTATAGTTTTAATTTGAACGTTTCACCTAAAATGTTATATGGTGTGCTTGAGTGTGATATTGTTATGTTACAGAATTACATGTTTATGATTTTGCAATAAAAAGGCATTATTTGTGCTGAACCCTGTATATTCCTTAAAAACCTCACATTCTGCAATACTGCACATTATAAATGACAGGATTTGGGAGGTGGGGGACAGTAGTTCTAGAACAGACCACTTAAAACTCAAGCCGTTTTCTTACTAGAGCATTAATAATGACAACAGTGATCCTATAAAAATACTAGCATAATTAAAAGCATGTAAATTCTTAATAAATAAATACTCCAGCAAATATAAACTTCACTTGTAAAAATAGTTGAAGGTGACTTGATGGAAAGGGAGGGTTCAGATTGTTGAATTAAGGAGACATATGCAACATAAACAAAGATCCAAGAAAATAATGCCGAAAGAACTTCTAAGAAAGAGTGGCCAGACTGAGCCAAGAAGTGATGTGAGAGTAGATGGGCACTGTGTACTTAATGCACAAGGTGATTTAAAAAGAATGAAATACTTTCTAAAACGTATTGCTTGTCATTTAGATGGTAGTTAATCCAGTTTTAAACAGTCACAGTTATTTCTACAATCTTAGAAATGCTCAGTATTCACGCCTTGCACCCACGGCTCACGTCATCAGTCCTGTTGTCTGGTCCATTCCGTTCCTTTGTGGCATATTCCTGTCACTGTTCGCTGTGATTGTTTCTTCATTTCCTCAAAGCTGTGAGGGAGAAGATACAAACCTGACACTGTTGACTGTCTTTTCATTTATGACTAGTTTATTGAGTAATACAACTTTGAAAGCGTCTGATTCTTTTTTAATTCCCTTGTACTCTTCCTTGGTTCTGTTGTGTTTAGCTGACTTTTTGTGTACTTTGTATTAAGCTGCTGTTAATTGGTGGCTTGAAAATCAACAGGCCAAGAAAAAATACATTTGAATCCAAATGACTTTTGTGAAAATATTGATAAACTTTCTTATTTACCAATTGCACTTGATATCATTTATATTACAAAAAGTTTCATTGCACTGTACATGCATAATCCTGTTTAACCCTCAGACCAGTTCTATGAAGTGGGTCCAATTATTAACATATATACAAATTAGGAAGGTGATGCTTTGAGTAGTTAAATAATTTATCTATGATCTTACAGCTTGTAAGTTAGGATTCAAACCCATGTTGATTCTGCTCAAGGTCCCAAGTCTACATTGAGAGCTGTTACATCCATGGTTTAGTACTAAGACAAAAATTACCCAGAAATACTATTTCTGCTTTGTTCTAAGATAAACTCTAAAATGTAAAGCACTGTGGAAAATTGTTACCCAGAGATTTGTGTGCCTCATTTGATTCTTTATGTACAAAAACATGTCTGTACCAAATTAAATTTTAAACTTAGTATTCTAGGTCTTGGGAACTGTGTAATTAAGAGTGCCATTTTGACACTCAAATGAAATGATAAAGAAAACAGGAATTCACAAAAAGTTTAAAAATGAAAGTAAAGGTGCAATTTGTACTCTTGTCCCTACAATTGTGATAGGTTTTATGCCTCTAAACTTGCAAATTAAGTTAATTTGACACTTAAGAAATCCTGTTTCTGTTTTTTTTCCTCTCCTTGTATATTTGCCTGAAACAAAAAGCAATCCACAGTGTTCATACAACAGAACATTTTATATCATTGAGAAGATTAAGTAATAAAACTCAGTTTCATATCCTATACACAGATAATCCAAAACATCATGTGTATTTGACTTTCAAAGGTGCTTTTATACTTTGTTTGAATTGTTAAGTTTTGAATTTCTCAAAACTTTACACAATTATCTTCAAACAGCTTCCCAGTTCTGTGATAAAACCAGCCGTGTCTGTATCCTTTACCTTAGTCCATTGTCAGCACCGACTCTTTACTCGGGGTTGTTTCCTGTGCTCTAATGCACGCTCTTTATTTGAACTGTTCTGGCAGCTCAGAGCTGTCTGAAAATGCAAAATAGTTCTTCACAAAAATAGAAGAAAAAAGAAAAGTATGATAACTAGGATAAAAATGTTAATAGTAGAAAAATAAATTGACCACATCTTAAACTCTATGATAATTACTCTCTGTCTCTAGTGATACAATTACCATTGAATAATCACTTGCTGATTCCCTCAAAATTTTTACTGAAGGTGAATTAGTTTTCCTTTTCTCCCCAAAAGTTGATAATTAAGGGAAAAATACAGGGCTGCATAATGAGATCTGATCACTAATTTACTTTTAAGTGTTTAAATATGTATGCAATTTCATAATGGTGTATTTCAATATTTAATTAATTTACAGACAAGAGAAAGTAGGGTACCACCTTTTTAAAAAAACTACTATCTATATTTCTTAAAATTTTATACATATCTTTGATATATAAAATGTATATATATGTGTGTGTTCTTTTTATTTATGTGTATATTATATACTGTTTTTATAATAGCCTTTTTATTTTTATAAATAATTACAAATATAATAGCAAGTTTTATACAACTTATACATGAATTGGTCATTTTTATTTTTTGTATAGTTGGTATAATAGATGTTGCATTTTGTTTTAAGTATTTGTTTTTCCAGCTCTTGAGTGGTAAAGCTTTAGTTCTTACTTGCTGATCTGCATGAACCTACCTTTGCAAGGGTGCTGTTATTTCCACCTAAGGGATCACTTCTTTTGCCTTGTTATTCTGCCAATCACTATTTTATATGCATACTTTCTGTGGCTGCATTATTGTGGATGCTGGCAATAAAATATGAATATTATGAGAGTTCTTGTATATTTTCATTTGTATACCTATTGTTAATTTCTGACTTTTATATTTGGAAAGTGTGAATAACTTAAAAAGTTTAAGAAAACCAGAGCATTGCAGAGGCCATGGATACATCTCATTTTCTCAGTTTCCCCAGCTAAAGGAAGGGATGTTTGTCAGGAACAGAGTTTTTCAAAAGACTCTAGTGCCTTACTTTCTACTGCTAGAGTACAGGTTAGTAGAAAGTGTAGTTTTCAGAAAAATATAGGAATTATTTGTTCAGAAATAAGAAAAGAGAAGAGAGAAAAATCCAAGATAGTCTGCTGATTTAAGAAAAGTAATAATACTCAAACTTTGGTTAGTGTTTTAAAATGTTTACTTTCACATGTCTTACCTCATTTGAACATAACAACAGCCCATGTCTTATTTTTATAGAGAGGAAGCAGAGATTCATATAAATCGTATGTACAACATCATATAACTAGAAAAGTGGCAAAACCAAGCCAAATTATGCCCTCCTTCCTGAGTCTCCTGATTTTTTCCCAATCAGTGTTTGGATTACATCATGCTGACCTAACTGCAAATGAGTAGGCATCTTAGAAAATATGCTTGGATGTCTTAGTTGGAGCATGATTCATTCATTGTGAATTGCTAGAAAGGAGCAAAATAATTCAGTGTAATATTATCCATAGCTTAACATTTAGCCAAATTGAAGAACATTTTTGTATAGGGTACAGAGTATGCCCCCAGAAAAAAGGTAGATAGGATCACTTGTTAGCTTTACCAATAGCTAGAGGCTCATGGGGACAGAATTTTTGTCCAGATTTTACTTGGAACCAAAACACTAGAAGGTTATACTTGAATTTTACATAATTATAAAGCATAAAATTTATGTGATAAATTTGTGTAATGAAGTAATATAAGAATGAAGTATATGTAGAACTTCTGTTTAAACATAAGCAGTGTAGTGATGTTGGGTCAATTATCTAATCTTGAAGCAATTTTGTAAATGTAGTTTTTCTGGCCCTTGCTTCTGGAAAATTTGATCGAATACATCTGGGATGGGAACCAGAATCTGTTTTTTTAGAAATGCCTCTCAGTTGATTCTGGAGCATATTCAAGTTTGAGAACCACTGGCTTAGACCTTGATTGTAGAGGATCTTGAATACTTACTTTATATAGTTGTCAGTCATTTATGTATTCCTTAATTATTTAACAGAGGTTTATTTTGAGTGTATGTTATGTTATATTCCAAGCACCCAGAATATAAATGTGAATGAGACAGCCAAGCCCTTCAGTAGCAGGGAGTAATGGGCGTGAACTTCTGTGAGAACAGGGAGGCATTAAATTCAGCAGTGTGAAGAGGTTTCCAGGAAAGACACTGAAGGATAATCTCAGTCAGTTTAGGAGGATTTTATGACTTACCACATGAAGAAAGGAGGCAGTTTTCCCAACAGTGAGATCAATGATGAAGTCTTAAGGATGAGAGATGTAGGTAGGGGACAGATTCTGGGAGTTTTTAAATTTCCTATTAAAAAGTTTAGATTTTATCCTCTAAGTGTAGGGAACAGTGGTCGGCTTTTAACCAGTGTTAACTTCTAAGAAAATTCAGTGCAGCAGCAGTGTAGAAAATGGACTAAAGTTGAGGAGAGACTAGAAACCACTTAGAAGGCTGTTGCATAATCCAAGCAAGAAATGATCTGAACAAAGGCAATGGTGCAGGCAGTGATACCATCTAGATGAACTTTTGAAAAATGGAGTAGAAATATGTGGCTTGGTAACACTGAAAAGGTTAGAGAGGGAGGCAGATTGAAGGATGACTCTCTAAGCAGTCAAAATGTTTGTTGTGTGTGGGGATAAGGGTCATTTTACCTAGCAATAGTTAACATTCATTTGTAGTGGCTTATGCTTACTTAGTATTTGGCACCTGGAGAAGATTATTTTTAACAACTCCCCATATGACAAAAATATGTTAAATAAATGGGATGAGTTATAATGATGGCTAGGAAAAATGTAGACGGTGAAAATATTGTTTTATTGCACTTTCTGTTTTATAACTATGTCAGTAAAAAATAAATAATAAACCCCTGGCTGGTGTAGCTCAGTGGATTGAGCATGGACCTGTGAACCAAAGGGTCACTGGTTCGATTCTCAGTCAGGTCACATGCCTGGGTTGTCGGCCAGGTCCCCAGTAGTGGGGCGCTAGAGGCAGCCACACATTGATGATGTTTCATTCCTCTCTTTCTCCTTCCCTTCCCCTCTCTCTAAAAATAAATAAATAAAATCTTTAAAAAATATATTTAAACAAAGATTTTATTTATTAAAAAATAAATAAATAATAAAATCAACATATTCCCAAAATATAATGGGATAATACTTTTAAATAAATTACATTAATCCTTTTTAATGGAAAAATACTTTCACATACTGCTCTATTGCAGTAGTGAATACTACAGCTTTAGCTTCTAAAATTTGTCGGTAATGATCTCTGAAAAACAAATTTTTCAGAATTGATCTTTGCAATACACACTATGCCCAGATTTTATCAATTTATCTTCACTCATATTGATTGAAGAACACTCTTCCATTTTTAATTCTGAAAGGTTTGTTGTTTTTTAATGAAGCAACTACTATACAAATAGGAAAGATCTTCGACGTAAGGATAAGTTTGGTAAATATTCATAAAATCCCATTTTACACTAAATTCCAGAGATTGCCATACTGTTTGTCTTTTTGTTCCTTTGCAAATCAAGTCTAATGATTTTTTTAAAGATTTTATTTATTTATTTTTAGAGAGGGAAGGGAGGGAGAAAGAGAGAGAGAAACATCAATGTGCGGTTGCTGGGGGCCGTGGCCTGCAGCCCAGGCATGTGCCCTGACTGGGAATCGAACCTGCGATGCTTTGGTTCGAAGCCCGCACTCAGTCCACTGAGCTACGCCAGCCAGGGAGGTTTAATGATTTTTAAAAATCTTCACAGTTGAGAAATTTTAACTATATACTCAAAATCACATATAATGACAGAATTGGAGTAACTTAACATTCTGTTTCATTGATTTTATAATCACTGTACCATCATTATTTATTTCTAATCTGTTTAAATGTGGGAATATGTTTTTGTGCCACTGGGGTTGAGCACATAATCTGCTGAAGTGAGCATGATTTTAAATTGCTATGAGCTTCCTTTTGAAAGAAGCATGTAGTTGAATCCACCTGTGCCAGGGGAGACTATATAATTGGGGGTTCTCCTAATTATCTTTCATATGAAATGCATTGTTTATTAATGGATAAATAGTAAAATGTGCTAATTTTAAACTCCATATGTGTTATTAAAACTCAAGCATACTTGCAGCAATTGTTTATAACTTAGGCCAACAAATTGCAATATTTTCTTCAGGGAGGAGGAGCATTTTATCACTAATATTACTATTGCTGGCACATGAGGATTAAAAAAACAAGCTTGTTTCATTTTTGTTTCAGAATTTTTGTACAGACAGCATACCCCCTTATTGCCTGCACTTGGGGTGGTGTGGAATAGGGCAGCATTTTTTACCACCCTCCCCTTGATGTATGTGAACGAAGTGAAAGGATTAGATGTAGGAAGACCCAAAAAAGACACTGTTCTAGTCCAAAAATAGGTGAAGACAGTCTGAATTACGTATTTAGGAGACAAGGGGGATGTAAAGGAAAGAATAGATCTGTAGAACTACAGGGGTGAATAAATGGAACTCGAAGAAAACTGTGAGCTAGAATGACTTGAAAATTGATACTATATGTTTAACAGAAATACAGAGATTTTTTGGAGTTGGTTTGAAGAGGAAAACATTAGCCTAAATAATGGTAACATGAGAGAATAATTTATCATCTTTGCTTCTCACAGTGGGTCTTGCTAATTTGAAATTATATAAATATTAAACGAGTAACCATGCTCTGGCTGGTGTGGCTCAGTAGATTGAGTGCAGGCCTGAGAACCAAAGGGTCACCAGTTCAATTCTCGGTCATGGCACACGCCAGGGTTGTGGGCCAGGGCCCCCCTAGGGAGTGCACAAGAGGCCACCATGCAGTGATGTTTTTCTCCCTTTCTTTCTCCTTCCCTTCTACTCTCTCTCTGAAAAAATAAATAAAATCCTTTTAAAAAAAAAAAAGAGGAACCAGGGAAACCATAACTATTTTAAAGCAACTAACACATTGAATTTTACTAGAAAAATTTGGAGACTTACGATTTAACTACTATAATTTGACATTTAAAAACGATATCATGCCCTGGCTGGCATAGCTCAGTGGATTGAGCTCGGGCTGCGAAATAAGATGTTGGAATCAGCATATTTATTTTATTTTTTTAAATATTTATTTATTTATTTTTAGAGAGGGAAGGGAAGGAGGGAGGGAGGGAGAGAGAGAGGGAGGGAGAAACATCAATGTGCGGTTGCTGGGGGCCATGGCCTGCAACCCAGGCATGTACCCTGACTGGGAATCAAACCTGCAATGGTTGGTTCACAGCCTGCACTCAATCCACTGTGCTATGCAAGCCAGGGCTAGATGATACTTGATATTAAGCCCTCATTTTTAAAAATTTAATGGTTAATAGATATTGTGGATTGCCAGCATAACATATAGTCGGTTACCTTTTGTCCTCATTTATTCCTCTGCAGTCACAGTGGCCTAATTCCTGTTCTTCCAACATAGGTGTACTCTACCTCTCCAGCCTGTACTGTAGCTTTCCCTTCTGTCTAGAATGCTTTCCCCAGATACCTGCACAACTCAGTTCCTCTCTTCCTTCAGATCTTCCACAAATGTCATTTAGGGAAATCTTTCCTGTTCACCCTATTTATAATTGCAACTTAAGTCTCCTATTTCCTGTCCTCCTTTCCTACCAACTTAATTTTTTCATAGCAAGTATCACCATCTGGCAGGCCATCTACATATTTTACTTTGTTTATTATCTGTTTCTCCTTTCCTAGAATGTTAGTAGTTCCATGAAAGTAGGAACTTTGTCTCTGGTTAGCTACTGAATCCATTGTACCTAAAATAGCATCAGGAATAAAGTGGATAAAAATTTGAAAGAATGAATAAATGAATGAGTAATATAAATGGTTGAAAGCCAGTATGAATAAGTATGTAAATGAAGAATATTCCATAATGATAGCATTCTGTATTTCTGTGGGATTAATATGAGGTAAACCATTACAAAATTGATTTTTTTTTTAGGGTTGGAGAGGTTTTTGCTAGTCTGCCTGGCAATATTTAAGTTGGCATTAAGTATTATTTAGCTATTGTGTAGTGCTGTAAAATTTGAAATCATACATTTGTTAGTTTTTAAAAATGTTTACTATCAGAAAGCATTGATAGGGTTAAGCAATAGAGTGAGAGAGAAATTCTTAATTTTATTTGATGATATATTGTTTTCCTTTCTCAACCCAATAATTGTTTATACTTTGGCCAGATTTATTGTTGTGGAATCTCTTTTTCTCTCATAAATATAAGTATATATGTTTATTAGCTTAGGAGTATATAAAGTCTGACTTTCAAATTGATTGAGTGAAATTTTAAAGCCACTTAAAGAGGTGCCTGCACTGGTAGGTCTGGCCCTCGTCAGCTCCCTGGAACCACAGCCAGCTGTAACCGTGGATGGCTCCGACTGCTGCTCACATGCCAGCTTTGAGAGTTTTGTTGCAATTAATAGATTAAGAGTTTTGAAGAAAGGTTAGAACTCCTCATTAATTACCCTAAAAAGCAGATGCTCTGACTCCCCCAAACCCCTCAACTCCCCCAACACACACACACACACACCCCTCCCACCCCATACACATATGTGCACGGCCCAGATATTTTGCTACCCCAAGTCTGGATTACAGATTAGTTGTCTTCTACAACGCGATGACGTTGGACATAAGAAAGACACTAGATTGTGACCACTTGAGGATCTGCCTGGTTCTGAGTTTTCTTCTCCTTTTTGAGTATGGGATTAGTGTTTCACGGTAGGACAGTTCATCTAACAATAACCGCTTTGCCAAAGTCTGCTTTTTTGTGTTGAACAAGTACTACATTTATTTTACTCTACACTGTGTGCTTGTGTTCATCACTTTTACTCACTTAGCTTTCTATTCTTTGCCTCTATAGCATGTTTGCTGGTGGCTTGTTTTTTCTTTGATATTTTGATCAGTTTACATATTGTAGATTTTCTTTATAAGAAACTACTTCTGAAAGTATGCACACTTTGTACTAAGATTTTCATCCCCTTTCCTTTCCAACACTAAGCATCACTCTGCTTCTAGGATTCTAACATATTTTCACTCTATAGTATCTGTTTCTTAATAAATTTTCAGGTTTGTATTAAAATATTCAAGTTTACAGAAGCTATAGCCTTTATCTTGTTCTTCCAGGCAAATATTACAGTTCCTTATTTTTCAACAGCTTCGCAAAGGCTGAAAAATTTGCCTCGTACTTCCCTCAAAGCCAAACAGTTGCTTCAAACTTCATCTACAAAAAGAGGTAACTACAGCCTCTTAAATAAGTTTTAAACTTCAGTAAATGGTCAGTTTAGTTAACTCTTATACCTTTAGGCGTACTGAGTTATTGCTGTCTATAGGGCACTTTTTAGTCTTTTTAAAATAATAATAAAATAATATTGAATCGTTTTCTGTTACTTGGATAAATCCAGAAGAAACTTATTTTCTTCAGAGGTATGTATTGGGATGCTATTCTGAAAGGAATAAATGATACATAGCATCTAATGTTAGATAATTTATCTTTTTCTTAGTAACCTGGAACTGAAGTTCATTGTTTTATCATCATGTTAGATGAACTAATAAATGCTTTAAAATGAACCAGATGACAGACATTTTGTATGTAATATTTTTTCCTCTGACTTTGATTTTTGGAGTTACCTTCTGTAGGATGAAATGGGAATGCCTTTCACATTAAAAATGTGTTGATGTTAAGTAGCAAGTTGTTGTGGTTAATTGATAATGTTTGGAATATTTATGGAGTGGTAGCTTTTATAAAAACTGACAGTTGAAAAAATATGTGCAGGTTGGACACCAAAGCTACCACATTGATTCCAGGAGATTGGATGTATGAGCCACTAGAAAGAGCAGAATTGAGAGAAAGCCTGGGATCGGATAGACCAGCAATAGTAATAGAAGACTCAGAGGAAACGGGACAGAACAAACATAGGCAATGAGGAAAAACACTTCTCCTGTCCAGGGCATGTAGATTTCCTGGTAGCTTTAGAACTCAGTAAGAAACAACGTTTATAAAGAGGTTAAAGCACTAAAGGACATTATTTGGAAAGAGGAGGGTTGAGATTTACTTTGTTGAAAAAAGATTTTGTTAATGTGTCTACAAAAGTACAAAATAGATTATTTTAGCAAGTCAATTGATGAAAAGTTTTATCAGTGATTTGGTGGATTAAGTATAATTCAAGGAAGTAGTTTTAGATAATAGAATCTGAAGGAAAGAGAATAGTCAAATAGAAAATTAGAGTGTGTGAGTGTTTGTGTTTTGAATATCAGAAGTTGATCATAGATCTCCAGTACGGGTGTCTTTTGGTACCACTGTCAGCAGTTAGTTCTTTTGATGGAGAAGGTGACTTATTAGGGATCATTATAGAAAGTATCCTTATAGAAATTATTTGAGAACCTTAGCTTTTTTTTTTTCTTAGTACTTCCAGGTGCAGTAGGGTGAAAACAGATGGGTATGAAAGGATTGTGGTGTCTAAAACAGAGTAAGACATTCCTATACAACAATAAAAAGTAGAGGATTTTAAGGTTATGTATATTTTATTTGTTGTATGCCTCCGTAAGCTATTTCATAATGTGTTTTGGGATCAGGTAGGTTTAAATAATTGTAAAATTTTTACTTAAAGATTCTCCTAATTCCTAATACTCTAGCTGTCTATTTGATTTAATAGAGGGAAAGAAGTTTGTGTGTGTGTATGTTTGTTTTTGTTCTGTTTTATTTCATTTTGTTTAATCTCTTACTTATTTAACTTAATCCAGACTGTCATATTTTCTGGTTGGTATTGGGGCTTCAGGATTATCATTTTGCACTGCAAGTTCTGAGTCAGTTGAAATATGTACATAGGTTATGTGATAGGATTTAAAATGTTAGCTTAATTACTGAATTAGCTTAAAGCTGAATTGGAGAATACCTCTTGGATCCAAGACCAAATTGGATTTTCTAATTTCCTTTCATATCTAGACTGTGAAAGAGAGAGGTGTCTGCATTAGACTGTGGGATTCTCTGTTCTCATAAGATGTGAGGCAGACAGGATTCAGATGCCATGTGTTCATAGGTACTTTTGGCACATTAAGCCTGTATAAAGAAACATGGATTAGATAATAAATCGTCCCATAAATCATTTGTCCCATTCTGGTGATGAGACTAACATATTTTAGAAAGCTGAAGTACTTATATTAAGGGCTCCCAGGATTATGGGATAAGGAAGAAAATAGTTCCCATAACAATCAGAAATATGGTCACTTTGACTTTAATTGCATTTAATAGTCTCTAGAGTTTGAAGACGGGAGGAGAAGTCAGAACTGTGTTGTCTGGCACAAAGAGACATGTTGAACATTTGTTGAATGAACAGAATCATGCCATTAACTCAAGAAAGGCTGGGCGCATTCCCCTTTGCATTTTCTTCTTGTGAGGTTTTTTATTTTCTTCATCTCATCATTCTGTTTGAGGGGAAAAAATTAATTATGTTTTTAAGGCTTCATAAAAGTGACATCTTAAACTGCTTTGATGAAGAGATATTTATTCCCCGTTGTTGAGAACTCAGTAAAGTGAGGTAAACAGTGTAGAGACCTTACCAAGTCATGGGAAAAAAAGGAAGACTCGTATTTTGCCATATATTATGCACACATTTTTGCCCAGATTTTTGAGGGAAAATAAGGATGCACATTATACATGGGTATAATGATTACACACCATGGGTATAATAGTCCTGTGCATACCACACACAAAATGTAGGTGCTCATCATACATGGCAAAATACGGTAGTTAGAAAAGATGAGTGCAGAGATCAGGACAAATTAAAATGTAGAAACATACTTTTATTTAGAAGGAAAGAGGCAACTAGGAGGAGTTAGTGATAGTTGCCTATTGCTTCTTTAATTCTTTATATTTTGAGATATTTAGGGTGGGATTAACAGTGTTTATAAGCTTTATTGACAAGAGTTGAAAATCTGTTCGATGTCAGACTTTTTGAAAATGGAGAACCCCAGAATTTTGTCATTACCCAGATTCCAAAACTTAAAATGCCTTCTGTTCCCTTTTCTATCAACGAAGAATTTATTGAATCTGTATCATATACAAGATAGTCATTATATTGTTCCCTTCTAGTCCCCTTCACTCCCTCCCACCCCCTTTCTAGCCCCTCTTCTGTTATTATTGTAGTCAAAGCTAGCCTCTGTCAAATAGTTTTTAGGTAGAGTTGAAATGATAGGAGTTGCTTCCCTCCCACACCTTCATTATGTAAAATTGGGAGAATGAGTAAGGAGAGAGCATGGGGACTGTTGTTAGGGCTCCCTCCAAACACACAGATTCCTGGTGAACCATTTCATGGTATTTTGGGAATGAAAATTGAATAAAATGTATTTATATTACAGGCTTGATAAGGCTTTTATGGTTTTCCAAGATCTCTTTTTTCCTCTTTAAATCTTGACTACCTCTATCAATTTTCTTTGCTCAGAAAGTCTTAGATCATTTTCCCTGGTTGGCATGGCTCAGTGAATTGGGCACGGAACTGTGAGCCAGAGGATCACTGGTTCAATTCCCAGTCACAGCACATGCCTGGGTTGTGGGCCAGGTCCCCAGTTGGGGGTGCGTGAGAGGCAACCACTCATTGATATTTCTCTCCCTCTCTTTCTCCTTCTCCTCTCTCTAAAAATAAATAAAATCTTTAAAAAAAAAAGAAAGTCTTAGATCAAAGTTTTCTCTTCTCTGAAATGTATGCCTGGACTTTCCTATTAAATACTGACTGCATTCAGACAGAGTGCTGCTGTCATTAGAGGGCACCTTTGTTACAGTGGTAACACGACAGCCCTTTATATCCTCTGGTTGTTCCCTCAACTTACACGTTTACCTCATTCAAGTATTTCTTCCCAACTGTAGAACTTTTTGACTTGGTCTTTCATACCCTCTAGTGCACTGATCTAAGAACTTAAGGATTCATAAGTTTAAAAGGATTTATAATTTATAAATCTTTTTCTAAACTTCTCTATTTTAAAATATAACACAAAATCAGAACACCATGTAACACATAGAGAGCTTAACGAACTCTTATCAGACAACCCCTCGTAACCACCGTCCGTATCAAGAGACCGGACTTGCCACCTCAAACCCTCTCCACTGCCGGCTTCCAAGCAGAGCCCTCCCTCACCTCCTCTCTCAGGAGCAGACCTCCTTCCGGATTTTTATGGCAGGCACTTCTTCCTTTCTCTGTACGATTTTTACCATCCAAGAAACAAAATTAAAACTTTAGTCTCACCTTTTCTGATACATGTCTTTTTAAGTTTCTCTTAACTAAATGTCTTAAGTCTCTAGCTCCCCCTTGTTGTTTGTTTGAAGAAATCACTGGGTCATTTGTCCTGCAGATGTTCTCACAAACTAGTGTCCATGGTGTCATTTAGGAGGTTCCTTTGGATGGGTTTCCTATAAATTGGTAGTTGGATTTAGATGCTTAATTAGACTCAGTTTTGTTATTTTTGGCAAGACTGCTTCATAGGTGGTGCTGCTGCTTCAGTTAAAGGTACATAAAATGGAATTGTCTGTTTTTTTGTGATGTTTGCAGTCATTGATGCTTCATACCTGTAGTCCTGCTTTATGAGGTTCAGTTGTCCCTTGTCTGCAAGGGATATGGTTCAAGACCCACAGTAGATGCCTGAAACCGTGGATATTATCAAACCCTATATATACACTACTGTATGTTTTTTCCTATACATACATACCAATGATCAAGTTAAATTTATAAATTAGGCACAGTAAGAGATGAACAACAATAATTAATAAAATAGAATAATTATAACAACATACTTTAATAAAAGGCATGTGAATGTAGTCTCTCTCTCTGATAGCTGATCTGATAACCGAGACTCCTAAGTAAATAACAAGTGGGTAGCAGGTACACCATGGATACACTGGGCAGAGGAATGGTTCATGTCCCTGGTGGGTGGGACAGAGCAAGACAGTGCAAGATTTTATCGTGCTGCCCAAAGCAGCGTGTATCTTAAAGCTTATAAACTGTTTATTTCTGGAATTTGCCATTTAATATTTTAGGCCCACAGATAACTGAAGCCTCGGAAAATCAAATGGGAGAGGCAAGCTGCTGTGTTGCAGAATTGGGTCATTCCAATTCTGACATCCCTTTGTTTTTATTTGTCAAAATACTGTACGTATTTTGGAATGTATGTATAGGAAAATACTGTATATTCCTTATTCTTTGGTTACCCAGTGGCACAGTTTCATTAGGAAATTCAGAATAAAAC